TAATCAGCACTAATAATTTTAAAAGTAGCTAATAAAAAAGATATGGATATTTGGATGTGGAGAGGACAAGTCGACATGTATATAATGTTGTGTACAATTATTTTTTCATAATAAAAAATATTGTATTCTAATCTTTATTTATATTGTTAATTTAAACTTTATGGAATCTTATAATATAATAAAATGTACACGGGTATAAGAGTACTAGTTGTTTATTAATAACGAGCTTTTATCTACTCGTTAGCCAAACGTGAGATAACTGAGTTGAGATAACTGAGTTCAAATGAACATGTTTGAAAACAAAATGAACATGTCCAAATGAACCAATATGCGAATCAAGATGAGAAAGTTTAAAAATGAAATACTGTTTATCTTTTTGTTGAACTTTTTCTTGTCGGCTTTGTTCGGCAACATTTTCTGGTCTGCTCTTTTTCCTCTTTGCGGCCGCTATTTTATCCTGTGTGCCAAAAAACTAATAAAAGAATATACATCATCAGAAAAATAGGGGTTTGGAAAGTGAATTGAAATGCTAATCAGAATGGTTTCAACCCAAGGCACAGAATACTTACCATCATATTCTTCAATGTCTCATTTTCCATTTGCTATTCATTGAACGATTCAGTAGTTTTCATTTCTAAATTTAACATTTACAATCACTGAAATTGAAATTTAATCGACATCAAAAGCAAAGAAATCTTGCCTGTGAAGTAGGGTTCGTCGGAAATTGAGCGTTTTCCAGTTACAATTTCCTTCGTCGGGTTTGTAATTAAATTTGTTTCGTTGGATATTTGCTTTGCTGGTTTGGGAAATCAAGACGCGATAATGGAAGTTGCAGGTTTGTAATTAATTTTTAAAATTGGCGCGTGAACTTCAGGTAGCAAATAAAAGTGAATTCCATTTATTAGCCTTGGCCCGCGTGTGTATTTCATCTCATACCATAACATCTTCATCTTATAATTTGACATGTTCATTTTACAGTGAAACATATTCATCTTGTTAAGAAACATATTTCGTACAAAATCAACTTATTAATCTTGTACAAAATCAAACATATTCATCGTGTTAATAAATATGTTCATCTGAGAAAAAAACATGTTCATCTTATAATTTAACCTATTCAGCTGATAATAAAATATATTTATCTTCTAACATAACATGTTCATCTTATAAGTTGACATGTTCATTTTACAAAGAAACATATTCATCATGTTAAGAAACATATATACGTACAAAATCAACATGTTAAGAAACATATTCATTTCGTCGTAATGATTTGACTAGGGGAATTTGCATGTTTGAATTTGTACATGTTTTGACTATGTATTTTGTTATAGTGCACTTGAGATAAATTAATGCTATAAGTTTTATTATTTTGTCATTTTATTTGCAAATTATGGGTAAATTAATTTAACTTCATTAATCGCAGACTATAAGTCATGTAATTGGAATGTTACCAAATTGTAGCTAATTAATTGTAGAATATAACTTATGTAAACTAGTACAGATCCCGTGCGATGCACGGGTGCACAAAATTAAGGTTATTTATCAAATCTTATTGTACGTCACTTGTAATAGGCCAAATGTGAACACAGGTGATGCACGGGGTGCACAATTTTAAGGTCATTTATTAGTATAGAGTCCGTGCGATGCACGGGGTGCAAAATTTTCTAGTATGTGTAATACAAATACATACCGTATGTACATGACAGAAGCACTAAATGAGTTATTTCCACAAACCTTGCCGGTTGAATAGCTCCTGAACACGGGTGCAC